CCCATATTGAGGCATCGAATAGATCTCTCCCTTTGATGTTGAGTAGAGTCGACTTGCTAGGCTGTGAGGACGGTGGCGTTTCGTCGGTTTCCGAAGATGCAGCGCTGCTGGCCGCACTCGATGTCTGCCTACTCGTTGACGATGAAGGCTCCTCAAAAGGGTCAAACAGGACTGGCGGAGGCGATGATAATGGCGAGGAACTGAAGCCCATTGGCTGCTGTCGTAGAGTCGATCTTGTGAAGCGGCTTGTGTCTCTTATGAAACTAGGCGTTTGCGGGAATGCGCTAGGTGGTGATGATAGAGGGGAGGAGCTGAAGAAGAATCTCGAGGTTTTTGGCGTAACATGAACGGAGTTCCTTTCCTCTAACTGCTCACCTTCCTTGGAGAACGTGGCCCTCGGCACGGCGGGAATTGAAGTCGAGCTGACGGTTTCAATGATCCCTGACCCTTGCACAGAGGCGATGGTAGATGTCAACAGAGACCTCTTGCGCATCTCAGCAGAGCTCGCCTGATAGGCGTTGGCTCTCTGGGCACATGGACTTGCAGATCGTCCCCTCCTCCTCAAATAGCTGCGCGTAGCTCTGTCGCTGGGTGTTCGGTTGTTGTGGGCTTCCACAGAACCTAGATTTCTGCCGGCGGCCAAGTCTGTCCTAGGCCCCTTGTCCGGGGGTGAAGACTGAGCTCTCGCGCTCTCCCTCGAAGATCTTCTCCAGCTGGTTCTATCACCCGGAATGGGTGCATTATCGGTACTGGTACTTGGGCAAGCACTCCCGGCATCGACGGTTGATTCCCTCGACCTCGCCCTAGTGATGGGCCCAGTAGACCTTGCCGGATTTGAGTCGGAGCCCTGCAAAGTGGATGTATGATTCCCTGTGACCCGTGAATCTTGCGAATCATCACTTAGACAAATACCCGAATCCTCAAAAGAAAGTCTCCTCCGTTTCGTCGGTTGTTCCTGTTCTTCGCGACTGGCATCCGCCGAGCCAAAATTCCTTGGTTCGACAACATCCACCCGATTTGCGGCATCGAACTGGGCCTGAATTAGGGAGTAGAGTCCATTTTCGCTCCGGAAGTCCTACGTGTCATTGATTAGCATGAGTTACTGAGACCTTCCAGCGTGAGCTCTTACAGGAATGCCCGAATTGGTACTGATACCTGCGCCAGTAATGACCACGACCTTTCGTGCTTTGAAAACAGAGTCGGCAATCCCTTGTAGAAGAACATCCTCTGTAGGGGTGACCTGGGTGGTAGGCATACTGAAGGCGTACTAGAGTCGGCCCATTGGACTGTCCGGAGTGGAGTTCCGACAATTAGACACTTCTATTATGGTGCTGCTAGCCTAGGCGCGTCTGACAAGTATGCGACTCTGACGCCAGCCTTTGTGGATATATATTCGACGCGAGAGATGTAATGACTTGATTTCTGGATATCGACTGAAGAGATTCGCTTGCTTTCAGGCCCAGGCGTGTAGCGCCTCAGACGTATGGTGGCGTATGGAACTGCAAGCCCTTGCTTAAACTCGACTCAGTTGGGCAGAGCAGAGCTACCAGTCGATCGGATTTCTCGAAACTTTGTTGGAATAGAGACACAAAAGCGGTTTCCCCAATTTCGGAAACCCGGCCGTGGTGGACAGCTGCAGAGTCTTCTTGGGATCGTAGTCTCTATGCGACGCGGTGGTGGAAGAGGCTGGTAGCGGTGCAGACGCGGTGGGCCGGAGGTGTCAGACTAGGGTTCGCGGTACCGGGACCTGCTCGATGAGCCTCGATGTCGGGCGGCGAAGGTCGAAGGACGGAGCTGCTACGTTCACTGCAGCCTCCGGGTGTCCAATTGGCAGGATCGTGTCAAGTCGCGAGATCGAGAAGACGTGAGTTGGAGGTTGTGGCGAGGCGACTGTCGAGGCCCAAGCTTGAGCCTTTGAACAGACGCGTCTCAGTAGGTGCTCGGGAAGACCAAAGCTCGAAAGCTTAACCGTCGAGCTATAGATGTAGTCGTTTGTTCGTATTTTCTTTTTGGCGGAGAAGGCGGGCGTAGGATGTCACAGTCAGAAAAAATCGCCAAATGGTCAACAGAGAGGAACAATTGAGAAGTTTGACCACAGGAAGGCGTGTTCAAGGTCCCTGTTGAGTCGGATGTTGTTTGTGAACCGCGACCGCCCCGAAGAATAAGACCCCAGCCAGTGAGACGCCAACAGCTTAGCGTAAGCGGCCCAGATCGCTAACCTCGCCTTACCTTAGTGAGCACTGAGATCACCGCCGAGATCCACTGTTGGTTGATAAGAATAACGATAGCGCTATCGATAAGGAGCTTCCCGATAAGGTACCTCGTCACACTCTCTACGGATACCTCGTGACATTCTCTTTTGCTATATCTGCATCACTTCCTACTTGAGCCTCGATGCTCTGGGGTATTTGATGCATCTTGTTACGTCACTAGACAAGATTGAATTGGATTAAAACCGTGGAAACGTTAGGGACGATAGGAGAAAAGAAGGAGAACAGACTGCGGCACACCGACGAACTTGCTGGGATCACACAGAGCTCGCCATCAAGCCATCAATTGAACACCAGATCGCCACCGTCATCATTGCCATCGTTCTCAATTTGCCGTCTCAAAGTCGAATCAGAGAAATAGCAACATGACTGCTCAGTTACGCTTGGTTCAACGGCTGAACGTGGCCAACGTTAATTGAGTCCATGCCCATGCCCATGCGCCGGAGTGTCAGCAGATTTGGCACCTGTCTACCGTCCGTCGTTGCTGGAACCTTGTTAACTCTCAGTCCTCTTCTACCGCTCAACTCTGGCGATGCTGTCATGAGGCTCGAAAGACACTTTTATCCAGGCCAAAGGCAAGTTGGAGGGAGATCACAGAGTTTACGGAAACAAATCTCCCGAATGCATCGCTTTGATGGCAAATCACACAATCTTGTCCTCAAAGATTACCCTCTAGTCCCTTACTAACGCAACCGCCGGATGAAGAGATCTTCACCTCTGCTATCTGCAGATCGCCCATCACAACCGACCCAACGCCTTGGCGTACCATTTTCTCCAGCTTCGATACCTTCTAGAGATGTAATCGATGCGGGGAAGCGAGTCAGCCACTGAATCTCACCGGCAATGTGCTCAGCCCGTTGGATTGAGCGTCATGTAAACACATGAGACGAAGCCGGCAGCGGCATGCTACGCACTCTTGATGCACATACGTGAGATGAGGATAAGTTACATACTCAATTGCGCAAGGATCCCACACTCATCTCGAGTTGCCGACAGCTGTCGGCTCTCATCCATCTGATATTCGCGTTCCGTGAATATCACGAGACGTTGGGGAGATGCCAGCGTCGTATGTATCGTGAATGAGACGGCTTCGTTTGATCTTCATCGCCCCGGCTTCATTGTGACAGTCCTGACAGACGTCTCCACGCCCACCCGTTGAGCCTCAGCCAACTACCATTCATGTCAACCTAACCTTGAGACTGGAATCTCAGCCCGTGACCTCTCTATTCCCCCGGTCTTTGAGAAAAACCTTCCTCAGTTTACACCTTCTTTTAGTCGCCGTGCCTTGTTTGAACTCGGGACGGGACCTGGATGAGGGTCCTGACAGGCCTCAGCTCGCTTGGTGCCGAATCCAAAGACACGACGAACACGTCCCAAACTCTTGGCACGAGCGCATGAATCGCCGGTGATCGGTGCATCTCATGGTCCTTCCGGGCCGGAGGCTCTACCTAGGGAAGACGTAATTGGGACACATACTTAAAGGCTGTTGCCGTGGTCTCAATACTGTGACAGTGTCTCGATTCCATCTCGTTACTCGTAATTACTTAGTGCCAGCGCGTTTGTTTCGTTTGTAAATCCATTGGTTCACTCTTTTAATCCAGGCTGGTCCAACATTACGTCTTCATCATGCAGTACTTCAAGTCGTTCACTCTTCTATCCTTCGCCTCAGTGGCAGTGGCTCAGCAATGCACTTTGCAGTTCGATGGCAGGGTCACAACTGGAACCGAGGCAGAAGCATTCGATGCCGAGAACAACCTTTTCAGTCCACAGAATGTCTTTGGGGCCGGTTTGAGCTTCAGCAAAGTATTGCAATTGCCTAATGAGGCCAGCTCACCTTTCGATGGAAACGACAACGTTCCTCTTGAAGTCACAATCAGGTCAGTCCGAGCCCCAGCATGACCATGATTAGATTGTCCTGCTAACAATTACCCCAGTGACCAGTCAATCTTCAACAAACAGACGGGCTTCCGACGTGCTGAGCTTATCCCATCAACCAACACAGGTACAGACGAATCGACGACTGGCGTGAAGACGTTGCATTTCAGTCTCTCGAAAGACGTCCAGCGTCCTCTCAATCTGTCGCACGAGTACCAGCTAGCTTTCCTGGAGAGCAATGACTTCAGCACGAACCAAGTCGTTCTCAAAACCGGCACCATCCTGGGCGGCGATGCAACGGTCGACCCAGATACCCTCCAGCTGTTTGGCAATGTTAACACCAAGCCGGCACCTCCTATTCTTTTCAGCACACCTTTCGCAGAGAACACTATTCATGACTTTGCCGTAACCATGGATTTCAACGCCAAGTGAGTACTTTCCGAGCCTGACATATGCTCTAGGGTACTCATACGTTGCTCAGCACCGTCCAGGTGTTCTACTCAACCGACAACAACGACTTGGAGGCTCAGGGGGAACCCCAGCCCAACGTTGTCACGGGCCAGGGTCAGTACCATTTCGGTGTTCTGAAGAAGCCAGTCGGAGGTCAGGGTGATATCACCAAGAATGGCTTCCAGCCGGACGGCATTGACGAGGGGATTGTCTACAGCGGTATCTTCCAAGAAGATAGCGCCAACGGCTGCATCAGTCTGGCTCCTTAGGCTATCTCTATCGCGAGCACCCGACTTTCCGGGACTTCGGAGAACACATAGTATACTATCATCTTAGATCTTAGCCTTTGCGGTGCAAAGGCTTCGACGTAATGTGCATAGGGTTGTTTAATCAATCACTGCAACAGTCGCAAGTTTCATCTGGCTGCAATCCATGAACACATGTTAGTTCAACTCAGTCGGTGTGATATCATCTCTTATAACGATGCTTCTATTGTCTTACACGTAAGTGACTTGTAATGAGAGATCCAGTTTGTTAAGTACGGGTAAACAGACCCAAGCATTGTCGATTAACGAACCACATCATGGTTTTGCTCTCTACGAGTATGTGGTATTTCGGATGTCTCTCGATTGAGACTTTTCAGGCTATGCCTCCTGATGACTAACTGTAGCAGCTAACTTCTCATGACGGTTGGCGACCTCTTCCAGCTGCGGGCGTAAAGAGTCAGCCGCCTCTTGCGAGAAGTGACGAGCGCCAACGCGATGCTCAAAGAGCAGATCAATCTCAGAGTACGTGAGACCAAATGGCTCCGGAAGACGGAAGAAAGTCCAGGTAAGGAAAAGCACAGTGATGCCGGCCCAGAAGAAGCCGCCTCTCGCTCCCCAGTTCCAATCGTTCTTGCCCACAATTTTCGGCTGCAGCGCGTTGACAATGAAGCCTCCGCAGTTGTAAAAGGCGCGAGACAAGGCGACTGTCTTGACGCGGAGTCTGGTAGACGGCATCTCCGCGACCAGGGTGTAGCACGAGGGACCGACGCTGAGCTGGAAGGAGAAGAGCATTACGATGATGAGGGCTCCTACGGCCCATGACCGTGCTGGCAAACCAGCCGCATCCTGAGGGATGCCGATGCCACCGATGATGACGAGAATCACAAACATGGCCGACAAACCAGCCAGGTACAGAGTGCGACGCCCGATGTGAGTCATGATGTACCAAGCAATGATACAGCCGATAAGACCGATGCAGTTCTGTACCAAACTCATCGTGAATCCGTTCTTAGAGCTAAGGCCGGCATTGATCATGAACTGCGTGCCATAGCCCATGAACGGCACACCGCAGAAGGATTGCGTCAGCCAGACCATGCATGCGATCTCGGTGCGGCGGAGGTCGACGCCACGGAAGCAGTCCCAGTAGTGAGAGCCTGAGCTGACCTCGATCTCGAACTGGTTCGTCACGCGCATCATCTCGATATGGGCGTCGAGGTCAAAGTTGATGCCACTCTTTGGCGAGGTCAGCTTGCGGACTGCTTCGCGTGCGTCTTCGAGGCGGTTTTGGCGGACGAGCCACCACGGACTTTCTGGAGCGAAGAGCGTGCCAATGATGATGGGGATGGGCCAGACCCATTGAATAGCAAATGCTGAGATGGGTTCGAGTCAATGAAAATTCTCAAGGGCAAAGTAGTTGAGATTATCTTACGAATGCGATATCCCCATTGGTTATCGATCTGTAGAAGTCCGCGAAGCATGCCACTGCTGATCAGCTGCCCAATGACCCAGCACATGTTTCTACATGTATAGTTAGCAGAGCTCACTCTTTGAGATGAGGATTTCAATAAACGTACACCCAAGATGTCATGTATCCTGTAAGTCGGGTTAGTAAACGAACACTGTCAAACACGAACAGAAAGACAACTAACCTCTAAGGGACATGGGACAAATATCGGCCGCGTAGGTGACGGCAAGAGTCTGGAAGATACCCCACGGAATTCCCTGGATCAAGGCTCCGGCCAAGAACATGGGAAGACCGTTAGAGAAGAAGGGGATGAAGACGGCCCCGATCATGGCAACCATGGCGACGATCATGGTCTTCTTGTAGCCGATCCACTCGGTGATGATGCCGTTGAGGATGAGGCCAAGGATTGAGCCAGCCTGGGTGCCGTTATTGATGATGGTTTGCCAGCGAGCCGAGACCAAAGGATCACCATTGGCATCGACTTGGTCACCGTACCGCTTCATGAAAGCCGGAAAGGCGTAGAAGTTGCTCATGAGGTTGGTATCATAGCCCTTGAAAAGTCAGTCGCACGTCCTGACTCAAAACTCCTCCGGGGTTATCATACCTCCATGATGATGGCCAGAGAAATGATGAACGAGAAGAGAATCGCTTTCGGCCAGAAGCGAAACGAATCTCTCACGCTCATTTGACGCTCATTCTGCATGGCCGTGATGGCCTCACCAGGGTTGTTATCATTGTGGTGGCTGACGGTCGGCACCGCTTCAGCGCCCACAGTCTTTGTCTGAGCCATGCTGAACACTCTTGCAGGAGAGCACCTAAGATCCAGGCGACTGCGAATGAGGTTATTCACAGAATCATCCACAACAATGGGACACAACGTCGCATTTATATAAACAGAAGGCGGGGAACCTCATTGCAACCTACCATTACCGTGGGACGACCTGAGGGACTTGGCGAACCCTGAGAGTGCCAAACTATGAAAGGCCAATCCCAACGTCAGATTAATCCGACCTTTTTTCACTTTAATGCCGAGGCAATGCGGAGAAACCCCATGAAGGGGACAACAATGGCAATCAGACGTTTCGAGAAACCAACGTGCCAACGTCGTACAACACGTTCAGAGTCTGCTGCATCATATGAGGGTCCCATGGGGAATTCTCCGGGGTTGGGAGCAACGGTCGGTCGAGACTTTTGGGGGAGCAAAGCGACGCGATCATTCGTCCAACGGCTTGTGGGTGTCACCGATCAGATGTCCAGGGCAAGGTTTGAGCGACTTTTCCGCACGTTTCCCGCCGCCTTTTCCCGATCTGTGGTAGACCGCCCGGCAGGGGGAGACTTCTTGAGCCCTTGGGGTCCCCGTCGAACCAACTCAGCCAGGTAACCACTGCGTGGTGGAATACAATCCTAGTCATCTTTGAAAGAAATCGGCATTCTCTATTGCGCTTCTTGCAGTTGCTGCTTGCAATCGCCCCATCTTGTCTGCTTCTTTTCGGGCTGCGGACAAGGCCACAACATATACGCAAACAGGGCGGTGTTCAGTCCGAGGGAATTGTGCCACGCCAGCATGCGGAAACCTTCGGCTTGTGCTGCGTGTCGGTACATACTCGTCCCATTTTGGATCTTTCATGACACTTTAGGTTACCTTGTGATCTGACAGAAACCTCATAGGGCCCGCAGGCGCAAGTGCCAAACTCGCGACGGTCTCATCGACTGCATTTACTGCAATGAGAGGGGCATCAAGTGCGATCAAAGACCTCCCGAGGGAGGTTACTATGAGCAACGAGAGAACCAACGTAAAGAACGCCTGGTAGAAGAGCGGAACACATCCATACAGCAGCGAGGTAGCTACCACGCAGCCGGAAGTGCATCATCTGCATCTCAAACCGGTGACTGGTGCACCCGTTGTGAGACCACTGCACATGCCGCCGCACTGCCTAGTCTGCCGGTCCGGCTGGACCTTGTGAGACTCTACTTTGACTACATCCATGACCAGTTCCATTCTCTCTTCCATCGACCGAGTTTCATCGAGGATGCACTCGGCGACCGAGTGCATCACGGCATCCTCTTTGGTATCTGCGCGTTATCCGCGAGGTGCGTCTCCGTGTGCTGCCAAGCAGAACATTGTAGGTCGAATCAGATGACCAACTCACCAGTCTAATGATGCTGTAGATTCTCAACCGATCCAGAGTTTGCAGATGTCGATCCTCGAGATAGGAGCCACGCGTATATACGAGCCGCAGAGGGACTTCTAAACCTCCGCGATGTATCTCTGCCGACGATACAACTCTGCGTGTTGATAGGAGCCGCCCTGACTGCCAATGGCGATGGAGAATCCGAGAACATCTACTACGGCGTCGCATGCCGCATGGCGCAGCTACTGGACCTGCCGGGGAGACCGGGTACCAATCTACTGGAACGAGAGATCAACATACGGGGTATGATCGAGTCCCCAAGTCTCCATCGTTTGCCGTTTGCCACGTTCATCTGCAACTCTTTATGCAAGGCACGAACTCAAAGCTGACAAGTCGGTTCCCAGTCTGGTGGTCGCTCTGCATGATCGACGTGTGGTCCTCCACCGCGGTGAAGTTGCCCAAGCTTCTCCCGGCGAGATCCGATATCCCCTTGCCAATGGACGATCTGCCATTTCTCTCGTTGAGCCGCAGCGGAGCCGGTGTTACGGGTATGACGTCGGCTGCTCAGAGCTCCCAGCTGCTTTCTCAGATGGTGAGGCTCAACAGGATCTTGTTAGACGTCAACGACTTCAATCAGCGTTGCGTTGCGGATAATCCTACCTGGGACGCCCTCGAGCAAGGTGTCGAATCTCTGAGCATGAGAATGGAGGACTGGCTCGCTGCACTCCCGGCGAATATGCGTGATACCCCCGAAAACTTTGCCTGGTTTGCAGCTCGCGGTCAGGGTCGGACGTTTGCGGCCGTTTACCTGGGCTATTACCACTTTGGCCAGCTTCTCTATTACCAGTTCCTCTATGGCGCGGCGACTACGACAGCCATCAACCCCACTGCCTCGGCCTCTGTCGCGAGGAGAGACTTGTACGCGAAGCGCTGCAAGGAACACGCGGCGCGATTATGTGACATGGTCTACCGCGCTCAAACGACGCCCGGGTCGGATGTGCGGTACACCATGACGGCGCATGTGTTAGTCATCGCATCGACGGTACAGATTCACACACTGCTCTTCAGTGGGGATGAAGCGGATATCAGTGTAGCTCGAAGGCGATTGGAGAGGAACTTTGAGTTGCTGATGCAGTTACGGTGTTACTGGCCGACGACTGATCGGGCCATCAGTCGTCTGAGAGCATTCCATCAGACGGCACGCACGAGCATCGACACAAGTTTTGTGCTGGACCGTTGGATGCTGAGGTTCCTGGTCGAGTTTGCGGAGCCAATGGAAGAAAAGGAACGCGGGGACGGGGAGGAGATGGAGTCGTTGTGGATGGAGGGGCCCCGTTGAGGGGAGCCGGACCTGTTTGGTGAAGCTGGGGAACCGCTTCCGGAGTCTTGGCCCGTTGATGGATTGCAAACATGTGCATGCGATGGATTTGAAGAGTGTATTCACTGTAACATGTGACATGCTGCCAACCCGTGAAGCCGCTCATATTCGTGACAGGGGTCAACTCACGATGTTCTGACTCCGAGAAATACACCGTTCAACCAACACATGTTCTGCCCAGCAGCGGGGGGCGTCTTGGCACCCGGTGATATCTCCTTCGCGGCCGGTGATTTTCATCCCATCGGCGTTCAGGCCGGTCGCCACACGGCCGCGCATGCATGACTCGGGAGACCGTTGCTGCAACACTGCGGAGAAGAGGGCGGGAAACTCGACGACTTTTCCGCCCCCTGCTCGCCTTGGCTTGACCTCACCGTCTAATGTCGACCCCTCAGAGCCCCTCACTTCACAGCGGGAACGGACATCATGTAAGTCGGAGGGTGAGAAGCGTATGAGAGACGAACGTGCGATAGCCACGATGGCGGGGTCGGATGGCTCTGCGATGCCACTTTTTTCGATACTCTGATCTGTATAAGAACGCGCCGTCATCGACTTTACGCCTTGTATCTGAGAGTGAAGCAGAAATTGTTGTCTGTTTCGCCGCCCAAAAGTTCAAGACAAAATGACATACAAATTGCTCAGTCTCGCGGCTGCGATCACAACTGCTGGACGGGTTGCCGCCATCAGCAATGGACTGGCCAATACACCTCCGATGGGCTGGGTAAGTCATAAGAACCCACTTGGAAGTGTTGACTTGTGCTCATAACTATCAGAACAACTGGAATGCCTTTGCATGCGACGTCTCCGAGGACCTCCTCCTGGGCACATCTGAACGCGTAGTCAGCCTGGGTCTCCGCGATCTGGGCTACAATCACGTAGTCTTGGATGACTGCTGGCAAGATGAGAATGGTCGTGATGCCAAGGGAAAGCTTCAGCCGAATCTCGTAAAGTTTCCCAACGGACTGAATTACGTCTCGGATCATCTTCACAGCCAGGGACTCAAGTATGGCATGTACTCTAGTGCCGGTGAGATGACTTGTGCCAGGTTTGGTGAGTTTCTGTCTCTCATTCACGAGGATGATGCTTTGATACAGAATGCTGACGAAAAGCAGCCGGCTCTCTCGACCACGAACACGATGATGCTCAAAGCTTCGCGTCATGGGGCGTCGACTTTCTCAAATACGACAACTGCTACCACATGGGCCGCATGGGCACACCGCAAATCTCCTTCAACCGCTTCAAAGTCATGGCCGACGCCCTCAACGCGACAGGCCGGCCCATCGCCCTGAGCCTCTGCAACTGGGGCGAAGACTACGTCCACACGGTTCGCTACGTCCCATCTCCATGATTCCTGTATCCCCCTCATCTAACACTCTCAAGTGGGGCATGTCCATTTCCAACGCATGGCGCATGTCAGGCGACATCTACGACGCCTTCACCCGCCCCGACGACCTCTGCAGTTGCAACCAGGCCGCGGACCCCTTCTGCATCGCCCCGGGCACCCACTGCTCCGTCCTCTTCATCATCAACCGCGTCGCCACCTTCGCCGACCGCGGCATCCCCGGCGGCTGGAACGATCTCGACATGCTCGAGGTCGGCCAGGGTGGCATGACGGACGAGGAGTACAAGGCGCACTTTGCCCTCTGGGCCGCCCTCAAGTCGCCGCTAATGCTCGGCAACGATTTGCGGGATATGCCCGCCGAGGCGCTGAGTATCGTAAACAATCCGGCCATCATCGCCATCAGCCAGGATCCCCACGGCCGCAGCGCGTTGAGGGTGAGGAGGGATGTTGGAGGGGATCTGGTACCCGATGAGTTTGGAGTCGCGGAGGCGCAAGTTTGGAGTGGACGGTTGGAGAACGGGGATCAGGTCGTTATCTTGCTCAACGCCGCCGGCGCGGAGATTGAGATGAAATCATCGCTCGCGGAGATCTTTGTGGCGGATGGACCTGGTGGCTCGGCGCCGCAGGTCAAGTCCAAATGGGCGGTTCATGATCTTTGGGCCGATAGGATGTCCACGGAGATGGCGGAGTCGTTGTTCACGGCCGAGGGTCACGATGCGCGGGTCAAGATTCTACAGGATGCGAACTGGTATAATGCCACCGAGACTCCGTACGCCCTCGGTCTGGAGAGGGAGGACCCGAGGCTATTTGGCAAAAAAATTGGCGAGGTCGAGGCCAGAGATGTGTTGAAGGCTTTGGTGCCCAGTCACGCGGCCAAGGTGCTCCGTTTGAGGAGAATTGCACAAGCTGGAGATGGCTTCAAGGCCAAGAGCCATGACCGGACACAGAGGGCTGTGAAAGACGAACTATGAGAGGCTAGGAACTCTCGATGTAGAAGTTGGGAAACGTTTGGATGCTTGGAAATGCCGGCGGTGTAGAAAATCCGCCATCATGATTATGATGGAACATGAATAAGATATAATACGCATTTGAATACTATGGAGGATGATAGAGTACGTTTATGAACTTGAAAGACTTCAACATTGGAAATAAAAAAAGACAGACTATATGGCATTCATCATATCGCTCCCTCAACGTCACACTTGGTCTTCCAAACTATCGCATAGAAAAGATCCTCGATTTTGACAACATAATCTACCTTTCTTTAACTGATAGGTAAAATCATGCAGCATACGTGTGTGCGTTGTGAGTCCGTTCCAAGGTCATAGCAAAATGCGAATAGGGGCTATGTGACGACCAGTTTCCTCGACGAAGTGGTATAGCAGCTATTACATTTACATACGAGACACGACGACAATAAAATCCTCTGGAAATCTTAGCCCAACTCAGTAGCAAGCCTAATTCTTACTCTATCAGACGACGATAATCTCGAAAAACCACCATACAAAAACCAAGAGAAATGCCCACAGAGCCAGCCTTGGTTCGACTCTCTCCTCAGGCGCAGTTAGATCGGGCTCAGACCGGTACCGACGGACACAACCAAGCCCTCAGGCTTCGCTCCTACGAGACAACATCTACGACACAGTCCAAGAGCCCAAAGCTAAAGCCCAACAAACGACACACTTTCCAAGACAACCTGCCCAGTCCCACAGAGCCCCAGCGTAAAGAGCAATATCACATCCTTCAACGTCCGGGGCCTCTCTAAACTCCCCTTCACCTGACTCTGAGCTACACTCTCCAAACTCACCTGTAACCCCGCGGCCCGAATCACCGTGATCAGCAACAACATCATCATCATCATCATCATCATCATCACGATGGAAAGGAAAGAATAAGCGAAGGACGCGTCGACACAACCCGGGGATGCAATGGACATGGTACTCTGCGTAGACTCCAAGGAAGCTATTCTTTCTCTCCTTCTCGCGTCTGCCTTGGTCCCAATTTGACGGAGCCAGCCTACATGTACTGTGGGACGAACGTGATCTGAGCCCCTGATCCGCCGAGCATCCGGACTCGCCTATTCAAGCATGTCGTGTCTCGATCCCGAAGCGCCCCCGGACAAAAGTCGTCTCCCCTCCAGGAATGGCTTCGTTGTCCGCGGATGAGAGGTTGACCGAGAATGAGCGGTAAACCCCACCCAAGATTATCGATGTGACTCGATGGTTATCCCTCGATCACTCGCTCTGTAAGCCCTGGGAGATTCGATCGATTGGAAACTGCGGAGGTGATGGAGCCGGATCGGCCTCCTGATATGGGAACATCATAGCCATGAAACGTTCCATGAAAAGATCTCAGAGTTAAAGTGCCGTCACTGGAGAAGAGGAAAATTATGGGCTGTTTCCCAGCTTTCCTGGGAAGGATACTTCCATAATCCCCTCCAAAAGCCATGACGCGCTCAGAGGGGGGTACATGCCGTTGAGCCACGATACGGGCGATATGCAGTCGGTGTCCTTGGATCAAGTGTCACCCGCAAAAGTGCCTGGCCGTTCAGTCGACACCTGAAGTAACGAGTCAGCCCCTCTTTCCAAGGAAAGCCATAACCCTGAAAGGAGAATTTGTCACCAGGTCTTGCAGATGTGAGGAGCGTCTAATCTTCTGAGAAGCCAAGCAAATCAAAGATGCTACAAGATGTGGCCCGAGGCGTTGCAGTAACATAAGGCATCTGCTCCTCCTTACACCCCACGCCCCCTAGGCTCCCCACTGAGCTTCGCAAATCCCACGCCTCGAATTTGTCTATGATTAACCCCCTGACCTGGGGGCCTTGGAGAGGACACGGTTCTCGGGTACATCCGTACATGAGGTAGGAGGGAGGGAGGGAGAAGGAGCGAGAGAAAAGAAACCAAGACTAGGATCGCCGCGAGGGCACAGCAGAACGCCTCATGACCTCGGGGCTTGAGTGGCCATAAGAGGTTGGGCCAATAGAGGATCTTTACGAGCGATACTGACTCTGATCGAGACCTGCAGGGTGTGGGTGACATACCTGGCCGAGAGATTGGTGGTAGAGCCCAGAGGACCTGCTGTGAGAGCCATGGTGACCCATGCTACACTTTTGGACCACCAAGAGCCGATTTGCGCTACAGAGGACAGTGATACCTCGTATGAGATAAGTAGCAGGCAGGGCACGGCGCGATGATGAGCTGCGAAAGGTCGTGCGGTTTGGGATTAAGTGGCATGCCTTGCAGCAATGTCGTCAGACTCGTATCTTTCCCTGGAGAACATCACTCAAGCCGCCGTGCTGGGACCGGACCGTTGTGCAGAGTTTCCATCCAAGGTCATGCATCCAAAAGAAAGCCAGCAAAAGCATGGAGGTCCTGCACTGAATGGCTAGGTTACTAGGCCTCCGTCTGTTGGTAGGACGCGTCAACTAGGAACCGCCGTCGCGTACTCCGTAGATCCCGCTGTTCGTTTGGTGCCATCCGCCCCCAAACCAGCGGGGAGAGAGGCGTGGGAGGGCAACGGAGCGCGGTTTGCGCCTCATCTAGGCATGTCACCTTAGGCCCGAGGAAGAGGAGATGTGTATTAGGTTGGTGTACGACTTTGTTTTTCCTGCCCTCGGATGTCGCGCTGAGCAGCTGAGGCGGTAGATTGGCTCAAGGATATCTGTACCATGTATCGAGGGCGTTCCCTTGTCTCCAGTCTGTATCAAGCGGAGGAGCAGCAACCATCTGTTCCGTAATCGGAAGTGAAGCAGCAGCCAAACACGGCCGCAAGGTCAGGTCGGCAGTCGATGAAGGTGGAGTATGCGAGAAGCGCGGCAAGCAAGGACCGCATGTTCAAGCTCTTTGCATCATCTGATGAGTATACTTGCTCGAGATGATGCAGCGTCCCACCGCCCTCTGCCATATACTTGTTGTTGGTGTCGGTGTGCGGGAACATGCAGATGCCATCAGGGACGGCTTAGGCGGAGTTTGTCTCTTGCACCTATTCCTTATTATCATGATACTCTACTGGCAGGCTCGTCATCTTGGCTTGCCCACCCCCAGAGTAACGGTGAATTGGGAGATTTTCTCCCCCCCTGCACCCTCGCTTTCCCAGTTCTGGGCCGATCGGATGGAGTCCCTAAAGCAAGGTAATGCTTGCCGTCGATCTCTACTGTGTCGTAGTCGCTGGTCACCCGCTCCCGAGGGACTATTGACCAGGTTGGTCGTTCATCCAGGTAGTCTCGAGCGACGAGCATCCCAAAACAAGCTACGCCCCCGCTGAGTGCGAGCTCAACTAGACCTGGGACTTGAAGCATTCTGAGTTATTAGAGGCTGACCCATTCTGGGCACGACAGAAACGCGAAACGTAGGCCTCGAGCGGCTAGTCCGGGCGATCATTACTCCTCCCACGTGGTCGCAAATCAAACAAAAACCGGTGAGGCTAATGAGCTATCAACACGGGGCCCAATAGCACAGGTAAGCTGTGAGCGACAGGTACTAGAGGGTGCGCCAAAGAGGAAGACCAGTCGAGATTACGAGCGGCAACTTCACGAGTTAGCCAAGCCAAGCCATTGGGTTTCGTGAACCCCCATTCTCACATGAGAGTGAGACTGGAGAGTCGAGGGGAAGAAGTGACTGGGATCCTGAAAGATCTGGAAGCACGGCAGGCCGGTGCCATGTCGCTCAAGATATCGCAATCAACTGTGTCCGTACCTAGGCCCACTGCGTCTACGGTCCAACGCAATGAGCCAAGCCGTGTTGGCGCTGCGGCCGTCCGTGGCACCCTTGGCCGCGTAAACAACAGGCTTGTTGATGTCCCGTCGATAGAGGCACAAGCTGCCGAACAGGGAGGCCTAGAGTTTGATAATGACATATTCGTCGATGAGCTAGCCATTCGGTCACCCTGTAAGCATCGTCTTGGGCCACATAAATGGCGACAGAATAGGTCGATGGGCTCGCAAAACAATCCGAATGCTGGTCATCCCCACGCTGAATTAGCTCCTCACGACACGTCTAGTCCAGTAACGCCGGACGCCACGAAACGCCTTCTTTTCTTATTCCAACATCTCTCCACTTTCTCATATTATTTTGGAAAGTTCTCCTTGGTCGACTGACATGACACGAACGAGGAGTCGGAGGCGACTCCAGCATTGCCAACATGGTAATCCCGAAGAAAAGAAATTTTGGTCGTGTCACCAGACCAGGTCTAGACGAGAGTGAGGAACGGTACAGAGTACGGAACTGCAAATGCAGCACATCTCTGCACGCATCTACACAGTAAATGTCTCTCTTGTGCTCCTTTCTTTTTTCTGATTGGTTGCACACGCCTTGCTGCAGGATCGTGGGAAAAAAAAACGAGATGAGGTATGCTGGCGGCAACCCGCAGAGCTTCCAGAGACTCGAACGTGGCGACCATTGTCATTTGCGTGCCATACTGTTGTGCTACGAGCCTGGCGCCCGCTCAAAGCCGTCTGGGAATCGCGGGTGCTACGACGAGCTCTGGAATCGCGCTGAGGAGACGATGCTGCCGTTACCGATCAGACCCAGAATGCAAGGATGATCTTGCCGGGTACGACAGGCAACAGGTCCAGTCTTCAGCCGCCTCTGTGCAAATGCTAACAGGGTCTTGTCGTGCGTCGCGATGGAAAATGCTGTATCGGCATCTTTGTAGAATAGCGCTGCTTAAAAACTGGCCGTATTATGCCACCACGTCAATTGAGCCGGGAACTTGGCAATACATCGGATGCCTTGCCTAAGCGCACGCATCCCGTAGTATGACGCTACATATCCGTACACGGCTGGCGAAGCGCTTCAATATTGCAGTCAAACAGCGCAAAGTCAATATTGATCTTTTGAAGTGTGCGTCCGATATGTGCCTAGGCCATTCGACGGCAGGCAGCACGAGCTTCAAGCCGGCCTCCCCTCAGATCCAGCAGTTGGGCGCCGGTAGTTGAGACAAGTGTTTTGAGCCTGATGTCTTCGATCCACGGACCAGTATCCGAAGGACTGGTTCGTGGACAAGTGCATTGGCCGAAATCGCATAATAGCGTCGCACAGGTAGCCCAGGGCATACGTCGTATAACGTCTTTTGCCGAGTGCGCATGAGTGGTAATAACAAGCTGCCACTGTGTGGCGTGAAGGAACGGTTCAGGGAGTATTGTATACTGACTTTTCATGGTCTCGTTTCTCTCTACTGTCGGGTAAGTCGAGCCTGGATAACAACTAGGTATGACGGCTGTCTCCTGAAGAGCAAGTTGAGGGAGTGGGAAATGAAGAGCAATGCTTACTTCCTCAAGTGGTGCTCAATCTCTCTCCATACCGCCATGTGATGAACAGTCATTGTATGAGTTGTGGCATTTCGTGAGGTTGCCAAGAGCGTTGGCAAGCGTGTGAGTGTGTGTGGCTGCTGTGCTGGTAATAAGGCCATACTTGGAGTAGATTAGCGAGAGTGAAGACATGGCAGCAGCCATTATCCGTATGCAAGCCGAGGACTGTACCGAAATACTGAGCTGAAAGTGACCATGAGTGAACAAGGAAGGTCTCTCTTGAGCCCCAGGGAGTTGTCCAAACGGCATGACTGTGACACCAGGCCGCATGCTCGGCATACCAACCACAGCTCTGTGCCAGCTCGGAACACAGACCAATCATAGTGTCTCGAGCACGATCAGTCACTTTGCCGTCTCCAGTACCGTATAAGGATGTTGTACAGCAGTTGATGGTGGCAGGCGTTGAAGAAAGTCGTCGTATCAGGCGACAGTGTCGTGAGGGTGAGCGCAAGATCTGCTTCAGGGCCAATATCGACGTGCATGATCTTATTAGGTGAGACTCTCTCTTTCTCTCTCTCTCTTTCTCTTGATCATCGTGTTCACCCTGCTGGGAATACTTTGCGGCTAAATACGTCGCTGCAGACTTCGATTGATACGCTGAGCGTAGTTAAGCACACCGGAATGTAGCACACCTACCAATCAATATGCATGAAGCGGCCAGGCAATTCCCTATGCGAATGAAGGACGATGGAATTTCCGCGAAAACGAAATAGGTAACTCTCAACACCTAGCCCCACATCAATAATCACGGCACCCAGCACTGCAACGCGCTCCCGCACGTTGGCATGCGGTCGGGTAGGTCGTCGATAGCAACGGGGTCGTAATCGCTTCTTTTGAGCCTTTCCGGCATCGTTGCTGGTGGACACTACCTCGAATAACGCGACCCAAGACATGGCAAAAGAATGCCCCAGGAATACTTCCAAAGGCGCATGTTTGGGGTGCTCAGCTGTCAGACACCCGAGGGCGATAATCCGTGCTTTGGCACTCGAATAACGGCTCTGTCCTGTTTGGCCAGAGTCTAGAGAATGCCTAAGCTAATGACCTTGAGTGCTCCTGTAGCGTCGCCCAGGTTGCCGTGATCATATACGACGGACAATGCCATGCCTGAAATGGTGCCTGTCATGGAAGCCTAGGTGGGATGATGCTGCCTTCAACAGGTATGAACGATAATAGAAAGAAGCATTAATCACTACAACCTGGATCCGTGGTCCTGGGCCTTCCGCTACGGCCACGAGGTGGGCCCGAGGAGAAATGTCTCGCATCACGCAAATCAGAATGGCGAGGTTTTTAGTTCTCGGAAGCGAATCTGCAACATGCGGGCCTCGAGGCAAAGCAATGAAGGCAAGGTACCGATTGTCTGCCCCTTCCCACCCTGGCAGGATGACTTGCATATCAAAGACACTGCCGGGCGGACAGAACATGACGACCAGAACGAAGTGGGTGGATTGCCGATGGTAAGATCGTGGCAGGGCACAAGTGGGCAAAGTTGCACCAAAGGTGATGTGGTAAAACGGTAACAAGCGAGAAACCGTCGGTGAGAGGGCAAGCAAGGCGGGCTTGTGTGTGTCGCGCGAGATTGGCTGGAAGACCATCCAGGGCCATGGTAAATATCGCGGTGAGAGACAAGCCAAGCGAGCCAAAGTCAGAGTCAAGGTCTGATGCCATGATTGGACACACGCCGCACCCGCAACCGCACCCATAACCGCAACCGTAACCGCAACCGCGACCGCACTTGCAAGCGTATCGGCATGAGGCGGGTGTGCCATGCTGTACGGATGGGTGTACCGGACCCTGAGCGGCAGTGTCTGTGGCCTGCGTCTACGTCCGCTTCCATCCACTTTTGCCAATGATGGTGTCGAGCTTGTTAGGTGTGTGAACCGAACGGCGCTGTCTAGACAGGAAGAGGGGAGGCGTTAGGGAGGTTGATAGTTACGGCCGTAGAGGAATGGTAGTGTATTTGTTCTAGGGATTGATTAGGCGGCCGACTGTGTTAGTCGAGATACGTACAAGTAACCCTAAGGATAGGTCAGTAAGCTTAAGCAGGCTCTATACTACCGGTTCAATACCGACAGACGAAGGAGACAGCGTATAAGGTAGCGTGGTCGCATGGTGGTGTGCATGGGTAAGTAAGTAGGGCGCACGCAAGCGGCATCGAGTACTGGATCGGGGTACCTAAAAGAAGGCGAGGGAGGACTGGGATGTAAGGATAGCGACGAGAACAGCGTCGTGGAGTCGAGATGGTGACGATAACGACGGGTCTGGGAGGATCCATTCTTGGGTGGCCAGGTACTCGTTCGTAGCGGAGGTACTAGCTGCGCGCCTCGAGGCGAGGTAGACTACCAAGGGGCATGTCGACCTCGTGGAGTACTCGTGGACGGACTGTCAAGGCTCGTGTTGTTTTGGCAAATTTGGGATGAATGCTTTTTAGCGACCGAAGTGCAAGTGTAGCCGAAGGGGAGGCGAATGAGGAGCAATTCTTTTGTGGAAGAAGATCGAAACGGCGGGCTGCAGAGAAGGGCTCCTAGGCTCCGTGGGTGCGTAAGTTGTAACTCCTTAGCAGGCGAGGGAGATGCAGGCGAGGGAGAGGATGGAGAGTTGCCCCCCGGTCGTAGGAAGCTTGAGGTGATGCTCGAAGCTTGTTGGTTGATTGACGAGGCCACTGGAGGCCAAAAGGATGGTGAGAAGTGAGGAGGAAATGTCAGGGGGGACCCTACTCTCCGGGACCTGCAGGACGGGACTCGATGAAGGAATAAGAAAGTGTTAGCGGCGAAGGCGGGGGAAGAAATCATCAGATGTTGGACTTTTGTGGCGGTGATGATGCATTGCCGTTCGTGGTGGTGGTGGTCATCAAACGTGGTGAACGTTGAGGTGAGGCTACAAGGTGAGGGAGGAAGATGTTCCGGTCGTTGGAGGCAAGGCCAGCAAATCAACCTGAGGCACTAGGCAGGCAATGAAAGGTAGGTATCTCGACTTGGGATCTTCCTGCCCTCGAAGGAGGTAGGCAAGTAGGTACCTGCTGTGCTGCTTAAGGTAGGTACTTCACCCTTTGTGTGGGAAAGAGATTGAAGGAAGGAAGGGAGTGAGGCAGGGAGGAAAGAGCAAAAAAGCCATCGTGCCTGCCCGCACTTGATTTCCCTTACACCTTACTACCTGCATCGGTACATCCACGGATCGCTATTCGACATGTGCCTGCCTTACTGGCCTAAGGTACTCCGAAGGTATCATGCTCCTTACCTCAACTCATGGAAGGTACCTAAAGTAAGGTACAGTAGCCAAAACCAGTCCGTCAGAAGTGAGTGACTATCGGCAGAGGCAGCGCCGCCATGGCAGTCTAGGGCACATGGTCGCTGAAACTCGCCTGATGTCTGCTCAGAATCCGCTGGGACCAGACTGACAGCGTCCCTTACCTTGCGCTATCTGTGCCGGGGCTTTGGGGAGGCGGTGTTGGTGCCGGGACTTTGTCTACCTTAGGTAAGCTGACGTGCCTTATAGACGGTAACCTCACCAGCTTAAGGTACCTTAGAACATCCTAATTGTGTGTGTGTGTCGGGAAGCTCACAAATGTACAGATACCTGACTCAGATACTTCCAGATGGAAGGCGTGGAAAGCGTGAAGGGAAAGATCGGGGACATGGTTCCTGCCTTACCTCCTCAAGGCAATGGAAGGTAGGGAGTAAGGTACGGGGTACAGAGGTCCATGGAGGGTAGGCCCGGCCTCCGATGTTTTGTTCCTTAGGTTTTTTCCTTCCACTCCTTCCCGCCCGCCGTCGCTCTCCTCCCGCAGGCAC